AAAAAAAATGTAAAAGAAAGAAATAGAAACAGTACATTTTCAACTGAAGGAAATATAAATGAGACATTTACCAATATGCAGTTTTCAGAATTCTTGTATTGTCTAATTTGTAATTCTCTATATTTCTCCTGTTTGCAATCCGTTCTAAAGTTGCATAAAAGGGATATTGGAGAATAGTTTTAACCTGAAATTACTTACTGTCAGTGACTTCTTTCCCATTTCTCATGTCAGATTAAGTTAGACTTACAATCAACCCTTGGGATCTCAACTACAACTGGGTAAATAAGACAAACCTCTTGGTCAATGTGTCTGCCAAGGATACTCGAATATGTTGTACCACTGCTTATTTTCTGTTCAAGTAGATGTTTAAACCTCAAATTTTGTTTCTCCAGTGCAAATTCATTTGGATGTAAAATCATTTCGGATGCCCCATATGATTCAAGGATCATATATATGTCTTTTGTATGTCCCCCAAAAGAACTGGAAAAGCATTCTGCTTCTAGAATTTCTGTTAACAGATCTGCAAGGCAACACGAAAACAATTGGAAATTTCTGAAGCTCTTTCTCTTCAAAACAAAACAAAAAGAGATTTCTGTTTCCAAAGTAACCTGAAGATACATCATATCCATTCATTCTCAATAGTCTAAATGCCAAAGCAGAAGTAGAAGCCTCCATGAATATCTCTTCTTCACCCTGCAGCCAGCATCTTTCAAGGGATAATGTCAAGAGACAACATAACTTGACAAAGTTTTTAGACATCAAAAATCAACTTCATATTTCATATCACAGTACAGGTTACTACAATAAATACATTGTAGACATGTATATATTATAGTTACCTGTATGTTTCATCCAATACAGTCTGTATTTCCTTCCTAAAATGCCGGCTAATCCCTAATCTTTCAAGATTATCAACCAGGCATAGTTGCTCATATATGTTAAGAGGGTAAACTGCTGGGACTGAAAAGGATAAAGATGCTAATTAGTATTCAAGAATATGTTAAGATGGCTGCTTTCACTAAACGCAAATAAACCTACTCAATTTATTGTAGAAATTTTTTGAAATTAGACCATGCAAACTAGAAAAACTTTTTCTTGGATAAAGGAACAGATTACTCGATCTAAATTACCTGCATTGCCAAACTTCTTCAAGGCTGATTTAAGGTAATTGAGGGAGCTAGGATTATGGAGGTGAATAAAAGCTGAAGCCGTCGTGGATGGGCAATTGAAAAGTGATCCATTTGTCCTTTGATATTTCATAACTGATTCCCAGTTCTGTAACTTCCCCATCCCTTCTGCAACATATGCTAAGTACGCTTCCCTCTCTGCTGAGTGGCTTTGGTAAGATCTAGATAGTGGGATGGCCATGTCAAAAAAATACAGATATTTCGAGTACATTAATTCAATTTTCACGCACTGCTGGATCACTGAAACCATTATTAAAATGGATTTCCCATTCAGCAAAAGAAAATCAATAAATTGTACCTCTTAAGTTCCAAATCTCTCTTATGAATCAAATCATTTAGAATTGTTGTGTCAAGACAAAGGTTCAAAGACAAGTCTTTGGCATATTCAAGCATGCCAGGAAATATGATATCATATCCAACAGGAGAGAGCTGGTGATCATCAGTAGCTGAAGCAAAATGCAACTCAATAAAGTGTACACCTGCAAAACAAGGAATGCTTATCAACCTGTTGAACTTAAATAAAGATCAAGTTGTATTTAGAAAGCACAAGTAACAATTACCCCTGCTAATTTGTTCGTCGCCAATGCCCCATCTTTTAAGCGCAAGAACACACGCCAATGTAGAAGAGATGATATCTTTTAGCAGTAAGGATTGATGGTGGGGAAGAGCCCATGAACCATCATGGAGCTGGTTTTCTAGCAACCAATTTACACATCCTGGGAAACAAGGTTCTTGTGAGGAATGCGGAGAAGGAACCATAGCGACCCATGCTGTGTCATACGACGAAATGCTGAGTTCAGCCTCATGAAACAGCTTTGTTATTCTTTCCTTAGCCTCATCAAAGCACTGTTAAAACTCTTCGCAATATCAATCAACGCATTCCTCATTATGATAGCTTAGTTACTTAGTACATGAACTTTAAAAATGGGGAAAATAAGGAAATCATTAACCATTACCAATGAGGTAGGTTTAGCTGATGCCACAACTTCGACTCCCGAGTCCAACGAAGCTGTTTGAAAGATTAAAAAGTACAATTTAGTACTCGTTTATCGACAATTCTATAACACAAAAATGAAAAACTCCACAATCAATCGTTACCATTACATGCATTACACTGAAATGAAACACAAAGTACAATGACAAGCATGAACGATAAATTGTTTAAATTTATTTATTGGTTCCGGACAAAACTACTACAGAACCCATAAAATTGTCGCTACGATTACAGCCAAATGGGATAAAAACACCCACCAAATTTAATTTTAATGTTTCGATCAAAAGAAAAATGAAATCCCGAATTAGTAGTACACAAAGAAAAAACTTCTAGATAAAAAAGAAGGAACCTGAAACAGAGGGTTTGGTGCGAAAAGGCAGAGAGTTGTAGATGTGGAGAGACATGGTAGATTCCAGCAAAATATAATTGAATAAGTTAAATTAAGCACATATATGAAGTGGAAGACTGGGAGGCTGCGGACAAAAGTTGGGAAAGGTGGAGGAAGGAGGAATCAGGAACCCACGATACGCTTTTCTGAAGACGGCCAAGTTACCAACTTTTCTTTTATTTATGTTAAATTACTGCTTGTACACAGAGCTAATTGCTCCAACCATCGTTCATATCTTTAATTGGTCATTAAAATTTAAAATATCGAATTCTG